CATACTCTTTCCAAAATATCTCATTTCTTCTGTAGTTTTTATTTGCTGATGGGCATCCATCTCCCCAGTCCAGTGTGCTAAATCTTTTACACCACCTACTCTAAATACACAAGTTTTATGGTCTTTCCATTTTCATCTGGCTTCCATGTCTACCCAGGGAACTGGAAGAGGAGATTAGCAAACTGAAGAAAAATAAATCTTACCTATTTTATGCATTCAATATAAATGCACAAAATAGTTTATATTAAACAGTGGTAAACAGAGAACAAAAAAAAACACAATTTATTCCTTTAGTAATTTATGCTCTCTTTCTTTCTCAATCTCTTGGTAAGAATACACCTCCATTCATTTTCAGCCTCTTCTATTAAGCCATTTCCTAATACCTAAGGCTCCTTTGGTGACCACTGGCTTCTAGTCAAGGCTGTCCTACCTGAACCACAACTGAAATAATTTTAACATGCTACATAGGGTAACACATGCAAGGAAGAATATAATGGGCATGTATAAAATAAAAAGTAAGGAAACAGAAATAGGGGATAGAGTTGTGATTCAAAGAAATTCCATAGATTAAATGGCAAACCCTCCAATGTATTGTTGAAAGACAATCTTCCAGTGCCACTAAAGAAGGAATAAAGGTGCTGAGTTATTTGGATCCTAGGCTAACTCAGAGTCAACCAAGAACCTTTGGGCTCACCCTAAAATCCATTGATTCATAAATAAAAAAATGGGAGAGTAAGAGGGCCTGAAAGAAGGCAGATGAGAGTACAATTCAGCAGCCATCCCAGTATGAGGGGGGACCTCAGCTTTCTCTTGATCTCCTCCCATATGTATTTTTGAACACATACTCTGCCAGGTACTGGTGATACTGCAAAAACAAGACAAGCATAGCCATACCCTCAGGAAGCTTGAAGTTCTGTGTGGGAATTAATGCCAGATGGATATGTAAAGTGTCACGATAGGATATATGTTCCCTAATCAAGTCAGGTAGAAGAGAGTACTCATGAACAATGGAATATAAAGTGAATATGCACACACATACATGACACCTGTTATCAAAACTGGACTTTATAATGGGAACATTTTGCTTGGATAACTTGCACTTTGGGGCAAATCAGAATCATGAAAGCAAGATTTCTGACTAGCACACCAATGTGGTGAGAGGCACTGCTGACTAACACCGGAAAGACCAGAAGAGGACCAGGTTGGGAGGCAGGCAAACTGGGTTTGGTCTTTACACATTAAGTTTAAGGACCCTCTGAGATTCCCACATGAGCTCTCTCAGGTGAGCAATGTTAAATCTGAAACACCTGGTATGGTCTGTGCTGGAAGGGTAAATTTGGGACTCATTGCATTGGAGGTGACCATTTAAACCATGGGCTTGAAATGTTTTAAACCATTTAAAACAGATGAGAACATTTATCAAGAGACTGTTTCGGGAGCATCCAACCTTTTGGTGTCTCTGGGCCACACTGGAAGAAAAAGAGTTGTCTTGGGTCACATATTAAATACATTGTGACATGTAATTACAAAAAATCTCATAATGTTTTAAACAAATTTATGATTTTGTGTTGAACTGCATTCACAGTCATCCTGGGCTGCATGCAGCCCACAGCCACAGGTTGGACACCCCAGTACACAGTGAGTGAAAAGAGTAAAGGGCCTGGAATCAGGGTCTGAAGAACTTCTTCAAAGCCACTAGAGGAGGGCAGCTGAGTCTCCAGAGAGCAGGAAGGAAAACCAGGAGAGGTGTCCCAATGAGGAGTGTTTAAGGAACCCAGGAGTAGTCAACTGTAACAATATAAGCATCAATCAAACAGAATGAGGGCCAAACCTATCTCTTGGGTAGGTATGCTGGAGACATAAGTGAAGGAGGCTAAAGCCAAAATGGAGTGTGTTGAGGAATGAATGAGAAGGGGAAATGCTGTTATGACCATTTTTGGGTGTCTTTTAGTGCCAATTCATATGCATTTCTGGTCAGCATTAATCTGGGTGTGAAAATGGTAGGTCATCAGATAAAACATGTTTAGTTTTAGTAGCTTCTGCCATTCAGTTTCCCAAAGAGGCTGCACCAATTCATACTCCCACTAGAGATGTGCAAGAGCTCTAGCTATTTTATATCCTCACCCTGGATTTTGGCCATTTTTTTATGGTGGGTGTAGTTGTATCTTATTGTAGTTTAAATTTGCATTTCCACAGTGACTAATGAAGTCAAGTTCCTTTTCTTATGTTTTTTTGGCACTTGGATATCTGCTTTTGTAAAATAGCTAACCAATTATTTTACTGTGTTTTTAGTGGGTTGTCTGTCTTTTTCTTACTGATGTCCAGAAACTCTTCTATTCTGGGTAGGAGTTCTTTGTCAACCATATGTATTGAAAATACCTTGTCACCCTGGGCTTGCCTACTCACTCTCTTGATGGTTTCTTAATGAACAGTTCTTCTCCAAATAATAACCTGACAGTCTTAAAGCCTTAGATTCAGAACCTCCAGTCTCATCTTACTTCAGCTTTATCAATCCCTGATTCTCTCAGGAACTGATGGTCCTGTGGACCATTTTCAGGATTCCACTTCTCTACCCCATTGCAGTGAACAGACACACTTCTCCTTGGAGGGGAGGACAACTTGGAGAACTAGAAGTTACTTAGGGCTGGGGGATAAATGATTTTAGTGTTTCCAGAACTGTGCTAACTTTCAAGCTAAATAATTCTGAGACCAAGCAAATTCTGGCAGTCTCTGGATCTTTCTATAGCCATGTCCCTCCTGGGTTTCTAGCATAGGCTTCTCAAAGCTGCAGAGTGTCCAAAAGTACTAACTGGTGATTTACTTGACTTTCTCATGCTTCATGGTCATGAAAATTCATTTAAATAATATGCCTTCAACTAAAGAGGAAACATCAATTTGAATTTTTAAAGTTTCTTCCCCATTTCCTCTGTTTAGACTCTCAAGCAGTAACACCACCCACTTCAGAAGGGTCACCTACCCATCCCTGGGCCTATGGCCCATCCCCCAACTTCACTTCTGCCTTCAGTCTGACCTGCTTCCTGCTCCATTCCAGGCCAGGTCTCATGCTGCTCTGGATGGATGTGCTGTGTTTCTGAAAGTCACTGAGCATCAGCATCCCCTTCTGTCACCAAAGACTCTAAGTCATCCCTGAGGAACAAAGTTCCTGTTTCACCTTTCCTAGCTCACATGGGTTTATAGCTGGAGCTTCAGACATGGCAAGCTTGAAAGAGACGGAGATGGGTACCTGGGGAGCTCCCAGATATTTCTTGTCTAGTTTCCTGGGTCCTTGAAAGAGCAGCCCTTTTGTGTATTAGAATTAAATTAGGGAGACATGAAATGACATTTTGAAGCCGAACATGTTTAGGCTGTGAAATCAGGTTAAAATACACATCAGGGCTGTCTCAAAAGGAAAGAAAGGAAAACAAAGTTATAGAAGAAAAGGAGGCTGCTGCTGGAGATGGGGAAAGAGATCAGGGAAGTGAGGAGAAGGAGTTCCATTCATTTTGCTCAGCAGATGTAGTTTACAAGGAGATATATTTTTATGAAGCCTCAGCATTTTCTTAGAACCAGTCAATAATGACTGGGCTTCTTAATGGGTCAAGAGGCATATGTTTTGAGTGTCCAAAGCCCTTTTCAAATTGACTATTTCTCTTCTACCTACATCTTCTGTGTATGTGTATATACATGTCTATGTGTGTGGTGGGGGCAGGGGGTATCCTGTTTTTGGTCTGACTGGTCCTTGGGGCTGATCTGAAGGATCAAATCCATTCTCCCTCACCCATATCTCTCTCCTTGATTTACTTACCCTGGGCTGGGACCAGTCACCCAAGCCAGTGACTGAAGGGACTGGTCCTGGGCAGAGGGATCCTGGAGTCCCCAAGACTCAACTAGTCTCAGCCACTATCATTCCGTTCCACTTAAAAGGAACAAGTGTTGGCATACACATCACTTTGCTTTACATTTTCTGAGTTGATTTTTTGTTTTAATCTTGGTCCAATTTGTTTGTTTGTTTCCACTGAGCCAGAAAAACAAAATGATTCTTAAATCATTTTCTGGACAGAGTTTGTGGAAATTTGACCCTTATAAGGAAAATAGCTGTTCCACTGAGTGATTTTCCTTCCCCAACATCTGTGTGTCACCCTGTGTGCTCTATGAATGGCCATTTGTACAAGGGAAGCTTATGCTCACACCAAGGTCAGGGATAGGGTTGTCTAGTGCCTGAATATACTCCAGATGATAGTTTCCCAAAGGCAAACCACTACTTTGTTACAGGAACAAACCCTAGATTTGACTAGATAAAATCCAAGAGCTTTACAGCTTGGACCCCAGGGTCTGGATGGAAGAGAGCAAAGGAAGAGAATAAGAATAGAGTCAGTGACTGGCTGACTAGTGCACCATATAATGGAGAACCCAGGCATGACTAGGTCACATTTCATGCTCAGGACCTCAGAAAACAGCCTAAGATGCAGAGACCCTAACTAGATTTGTAGGAACAGAGTTACCATAAGTTCATAAGTGCAAAGTTAGTATTTTCTCTCAGATGTGGACAGAGAGATGGGGCAAGGGGGAACAAAAATGCCAAAGTCCTACTCTGTAGTGGTACATTACCTCATCTAACCATTCAGAGCCTTACAGAGCAAGTATTTTTTATTCCTTTTTAAACCTCAATGAGGACACTGAGGACACTGAGGTTTAAAAAGGTTAAGAAACTTGCCTAGAATTACCCTGCTAACAAGAGCAAACCAAAGATGCAAACACAAGCCCATTTGATGTCAGGCCCCATGCTTTCTACTTCACTACCTATAGTCTTGATGTAACTGGATTCTAATTAGGTAAAACCAGAAAATAAAATTCATTTAAAATGCCTGGCAGGGCATGGTCACACAATAAATGCTGCCTCTTACAATTACTGGCTATCAGGGATTCAAGAGGCTAGGGGCCCTGACACTGAACATGCTGGTACATGGCTATACACTAAAGATGCATCTAAAGTTTAGAAGATGAACCTTAATTTTGTTCTGAGTGATGCATTAGCTAAGTTCAACCCCAGTACTGGAACCCACTGCCCCCATATAACCACCTGCCCTTCAGCAACATGGCAGCCACAGCTTGGTAAAGCAGCCTGTTCCAATGTGGTAGAGCTCAATGTGAGATAGTTCTTTATGTTGAGCTGAAATCTGCCTTCCTTCTTTTTCTAATTTCCATGAATTGGTCTCACTTCTGCACTATCAAGTAACTCATAATAAGGCTCTCCTTTTCTTTAAGCTTAGCCTATCAGGTATTTGAAAACTACTGTATGTCCCTACTCGCTCTTACCTTTCTCAGATAAATATCTATAAATCCTATAATAAGAAATTGTTTCTAGACCCTGTTCAATGTCCTGGTCTGCTTGATCTTGATGCACTTTGTCAGTGGGCCAGGAGCTGAAACTTTTCCAACCTCCTGCATTTGGGGCTACAGCCTCCATTGTCTGAGACTCCTGTGTAACTTAGTTTAACAATAGCTCTTGGCTACTTCCTCATAGTGTCACCTCATCTTCAGCCTATAGCTAACTGCAACTCCCAGGTTTTCTTTATAGGTACTGCTGTGAGCAGATATCATCTACTCTGTATACTCAGTTGGCTGCAGTCTTGATCATAGACAGTGTTTCTGCAGTCAGAGCTTCAAGGTCTTGCAGTGCCCTGGCCAGCAAGTCACCAGGGTCTGGGGACACAAGTTCATTTGAAGTGTCTGTGCATTCTGGATGCTTTCTCTCTTCTTATAGGCTTCAGTACCCTCAACACTGTTTGTTGAACTCTTTGTAGCTGCAAGATTTTTTCCAGTGGAGAGGGGAAAGGAAGGGAGGTATTACTATACTACTATAAGGAAAGGTCTTAGTCATTTTGAGGACAGGCCTTCTGTCTCCTTTCAGATAATGTAGTAAATACTTCCAGGCAATGGGTTGATACACAACACAACTACGCTGTAAGGAAAAAATGATTACCATCGTTTCCATTGCACAAAGAGAACCAGGAATTGGGGGCTCTTAGAATTCAAACAATTTGTCCAAGTTCACATAGAAAGAGATGGAATGAGTGCAGTCCTGACCATCTGATTCTAAGTCTTGCATGCTCTCCACTACACCAAACTCATAGAAAATAGATGTGTTTAGATGGGAGCTACAGGGAGGTGGAGGAGTGGAAGGATGGTAAGAAAAACATTCATAATTCTGCACACACTGAGGAACTGTGGCTCAGATAACTCTGAGCTGAGTAGACTATAAAGCTTAAAAGCCTTTTTTCCTTGTCCTACACAGTGTGGACAACAAGGATGGCAGCATGAGAATAAACATGCCAAACATCTACTCTGAGAGTGTGTTCATCCATCACTACTATAGCCATTCTTGTGTTCCATGGTGTTCATCAGAGTACCTAGGACATGTCAACAATGAAGGACACAAGTATATGCATAAGGACTGGCTGTATTGGTTGAACTCAACCCTATGCCATTGTTTCACTTCTTGTCCCAAATTCCAGAATACTCTCCACTGCTTCATATCTACTATGCCTATCAATTTAGGGTCCTTGAGCTATTTATATCCATCTCACCTAATCTGTCATCATTTTGTGCCTTGGTTTCTCTTCCCAGGCCACCTGTTCTCCTCAAATAATGTTCACATAAAAAGTATTAGTTCATTGTATACAAAAGGCAAGCACAGTGTGTGATGCACTGGCTTGTTTGTAGTTCTCTCATCAATCCAAGATGCTTGTCCATGTTCCACATCCTTTAATAAGCACTCCTCTAAGGAAACCTTAACTCCTTCATCTGGTCAATTCCATACTGTATTCCCCCGAATTCTTTGGACAGTGAATCACGAGAATTAGGCCCTGCCGTTGCTATCTGAATTCCTCTGTAGGTATAGATAGAACCCTTGGTCACATTAGTGCAAGAGTCTAGTCCTGTGTCTTCTACTTCTTACTCCCTGCCCCACATGACTGGGTACAAGAAAAAACATTTACATATTTATTCAACAGATGCCTATTGAACACAGACTATGCTCTCAGCACAGACCTAGACATAGGTAATATCTGGCCATGAGCAAGACAGGCAGAGTCCCTGCTGTCACTGAGTTTATATTCTAGACTAAGGATACAGGTGATACTAAGTAGAAAATTTAATAAATAATGTAATTTCAAATAGTAATAAGTGCTCTGATATTACAATGAGTATATGATGATAATGACTAAGGAGAATGCTTTTGATTGGGGATCTCATGAAGACACATATGAGGAGGTGACATTTGAACTGAGATACAGCAGAGGATTCCAGGCAGTGGATCCACCATAAAAATTGAGTGGTTAGGTGACTGGGTGAATGAGTGGCTAGGTGGCTGGAATACTGGGTAGTTGGGTATCAGAACAGTTAGGTGGCTGGGCAGTTAGGTGGTTTGGGGACTAAGTGGCTGGGTATCTGGGTGCTTGGGTGGCTGTGTGGCTAGGTGGTTAGGTGGTCAGATGATTACGGCCTGATGTTCTGTCAAGTTGGTTGATTGAATGGATGTTAACACCCATTCCTGAGGTGACAGGCCTCCTTGTCAAAAAGTTCTTTCTGTTAATTAATCTCATTCTATCACTTTGTTCTCTTGCAGTACCCTGTTTTGGGAAAACTGGTGAGTTTTGTCTTTGCCTCTTCTATCTCCAAGTCTGTTTCTAGACCAAAACTTAATGGATGGGAACAAAACAAGGCCACTGGGTCTCCCAGAAATAGCTTTAGAGCACCATCAGACTAGGCTCCTCCCACAGGAGCCTTAGCTAATCCCTAATAAGAGGAGAAACCCAGGACTTCACTGGTCTCAGGCTGAGAATAATTCTAGGGTAACTCAAGTCCCAGTAGAGTAGCTCTAGTCTTCCATTCTATTGCCTTACCAGTAGTACTGACCTCTGTCTTCTCCTCTTTGTGGTTCTGGAGCTCCTGTATTCTCCACTCATCAAGGCAGTGGACTTCCTTCTCTCCTTTTTATGGTCAGAGAAACAGGCATGTTGTCTGCAGATCAACCTACTTTCTCCCTCAGCTCTGTCCCATTGACGTCCATAGAGTTTTCTGTCAAGTAAAAGAAGACTTTGATCTATAATCATTTTGACTTTCAAGAACATTTTCTGTGATGCCAGGGAGAGAGAATATAAACCAACACTTGGTGCTGCTGGAAAGAGCAGCCGTGGGAGCAAGGCTCATCCTTAAGTTACCTTGTGAGCATCACTGCATCACAACTTCCTGGGTGAAGGGAGTGGATCCGAAAGATACAAGGAGATCCAGGCAAAGGCAGAATATGCTGGGGCTTTCCTATGAACCAATATGATAAGATTCTCTACTGATTAATCATCATTATGCTCATTCATCCTGGCTCCTGAGGCCATCTGGGACTGGTAATTATCTGGCTTGTCTATGGCCAGCCTGGAGCTGCCTTGTAGATGATGCAGAGTCCCCAGGAGTGATTGTCTCATCCACTTCATGGCCAAAAATTTCATTTTAGGAAAGAGAACAGAAATTATAGATCCCTTCTTATGACTGCAGTGAAAATGAAATTCCCTGAAGGGGGTGGAAATGGAGGGTAGGCCTGGGGAAGCTTGACAAGGGAAGCAAAAGGGGGTGAGCCCAGTCTGTGGCACTTCCAACAAACACCCCTCCAGCACATCTCTGGAGGCTGTACAAGGAGTTGCACTGTGGTAGTCAGGGCCTAAGAATCCAATCTGGGGGAGTGAGCATTGGGGTCACAAGAAGGCAGAGCAATGAATGGAAAAAAATCCAACTTGATCCAAGCTTTGTTAAATGGTATAGGAAAGTACAATATAAAAGGAGACAAGGAGTATGGGAGGGATGAAGGCCAGAGAGAAGCCTCGGGAAGAAGAGGAAAGGAGAGGGGAGGAAGAGGGCTAAAGAGAAGAAGAAGGAAAGAAGAAAGAGAAAAGAGGAAAAGGAGGGAGAGGGAATGGAAGAAATCAAGGTCCCTCCCTGTTCTAACCTGGAATAAAGGACTAAGGGACAGTGAGAGCCACAGAGTACCATCTGGGGGCCTCCATCCTGGGTAGGGTGCCCTAGGCTTGGAGAAAGAGTGAGAAAATGGGCTCACAAAACCTGCACCTCCAGGGTGACCCTATTCCTGTGTCTCACAATCCAGCTATTCCTTCATGTTTGGCCAAACCCCATGTTTGAAGGAGACACCCTGACTCTGCAATGCCAGGGAAAGAAGAACTCAGCCCTGTCCTGGGTAAAGTTCCACAATAATGGAAACTTTCTCCATTTCTCTAAGGATAACCAGCCTCTGACTATGGGGACAGCGACAGTGAGGAACAGTGGCCACCATGGCTGCACTGGGGAGGTGGCATACATCCTACAGGTGGACAGACAAACTTCATGAATGACTGTGGGTCAAGTTCAAGGTGACTCACCAGCTTGGGGTTGGGGGAGGATTAGAGGAGACTAAGGTGGTGGTCTGAGATCTGGTCTCTAGAGGTCAGTAGTTCTCCAGGCCGCACTCTTCCCCCTGGCTTCCCTTGATGCAGGGCTAATGCACAGGGCCCTGCCATGTCCACATCCCCTGACACTGCCCCCATCCACCCCACACATAGGACACATCTGGAGCCAGGGGTAAGAGGCAAGACATGGCTGAGTGAGGCAGAGGAGGGGAAGAGCCATGAAACAACTCTGCCACTCACCCCGACTTAAGACCTGAGCCAGACCCTTACCTTCTGGGGACTAGATGACCTCTAAGGCATTGTGGCCCTGGGATTCCAGAAGCTTGGGCTGTGTGGGAGTTGTCTCAGAGCCAGTATGCAAAATAAGAGGCCAGGTCCTGGGGGACAATGACAGTGTCTCCCTTGGCCTCCTTGGGAATCACTGTCCAGGACTCCTCTCCTGGGCCCTGGGCCCACCTCTACCCAGAGCTGTTCTTGCCTCCTGTGCTGAGTGCTATCCCCTCTCCCAAGCCCAGTGAGGGAAGCCTCCTGACCTGAGATGCCAGACAAAGCTGCACTCCCAGAGGTCATGCACTTCTCCTAATACAAGGAGGACTGCTCCTTGCAGAACAGGGGTCTCCTCTCTACACTGTGCTTCATACCCCAACATCCAGAGAAGGAGATTGTGGGCTCTACTGGTGCAAGGCAGCCTTTGAGAGTGGCGGAGTCCAGAAACAGAGCCCCCAGATGGAGATCAGGGTGTGGGATAAGTAGGGGCAGGATGGACATATTCCTCAGAGGTCTGGGAATGGGGTAGTAGAGCCCAAGAGACTGTGGAGAGGTATCACTAAAGGAGGAGGAGCCAGGAGCTCTAGGTGTTCCAGCTGACCTCCCTCTCTGGGAGTTTCCCTAGCTCCTGTGTCCTGTCCTCTGCTCACCCTGCACCCTGGGCCCCTGGCCTCACTGTGAGGGATGTAGTGAAGCTTCTCTTAAGGCCCGAAGGAGCTCCCCTCCCAACCTATGCTCATTCTACCTTGATGGGGAGATCCTGGGGAATTGCTCAGCCCCCCCACAGTGGAACTGCCTCCCTCTTTTTTCTGGTGACATCAGAGCAGGATGCTGGTAACTATACCTGTGAGCCTGAGAGCAGGGTCTCCAGAGAGACAAGCCAACCTGAGACACACTCCCTGGATCATACACCTCATCCCATACCAGTCTCTGAGCCCCACGTGCTGCTCAGGGTCAGACCTTACTACTCACAATGTTGGGCCTATAGCAGGCACTGCATGCGTGAGCATGAACCATGCTTGGAATATCTGTCCATTAAACCCAGGGGGGTGGGGATGGAAACAATAAGATTCATGGAGAATGAGGAGCACAATGGGGAAAGGGTGCATGGTCCTCCATGGTATTATCCTTTCGTGTTGGCATCCTCTGTAGATGAGAATCCCTAATTCTCATCTATAAGACTTGTTAAGGGAAGGGCATGTGGATACCCCTAATGCCAGCCATTCTGCCTCATGTGTGCCTGTTCAGAGTGCATTTCTGAATTTCATTCTCAACATTCATGATTACCCCTGCTCATCCCTCAGGACCTCGTGTCTTGTCCTTCCTGACCAGCAGCAACTGGCTGGTTCCTTGGCTGCCTGCAAGTCTGCTTGGTGTGTTAGTTAGTGCTGTTATACTGCTGGGTTATTTCAGATCCTGGAGAAAGACTTGTTAGTAACTCTTTCAGACTTTCTTGGCTGATGAGTCCCTATGACAGGCACTGGCCAGCCTTTGGAAAACCAGAGCCTGACAGAGCCAGTGCTTTTTTCTCCTGGGTGTTTCATAGAAGAGGAACTTCTTGTCACATGTCATACAACAGGGCCCATAGAGGGATGCTTAGCAGCTTCTGAAATACACATGCACACAGTTACCCAGAGATGTACACAGAGTACTACACACTAGGGCATGAATAGAAGCATATACAGGGAAAGATTTCAGACCAGGCCTCCAATTTTCTCTCATTAAACTCAGAGATCTCTGGTCTGCTCCGTAGAGGAGAAGGAAGAAATAAGAACTCCAATGTATGTGTGCATACTCATGGACACACATCTAATGTTGTGCACTAGGTGAGTGTGTGTTCAGTGAACATTGACTCATCAAAAGGAAACATGGTGGAGAGGACTGAGCAGTGTCCCGGTCCCAACACTACCATTTGCTAATTCTGTGACCTTGGGCCTATCTAGTCTAAGCAAATGACAGGTCAGCTTCCTTAGGCAGTCCTTTCTCCTATTACTCATTCTCTAATTCCTCCAATCAGAATCATTGAAAAAAATTGGTTAAAATTCAAATATAGAGGATTCTTTAGAGAAAAAGAGGGTAAACAGATAAATGGCATTTCTGGTAATTCACTGATTTTTATATTCCAGACTTTTTTTTTCTTTCTGTCTTGGGCATGATAATTAAGCATCAAAGTTGGTTTTCAAGGCAATCACCTTGGTGGGCACATATTTATTACAACTGCAACCCTTGTTTGCTTCCAGCCATATTTAAGGAAATAGGTACCAATGCCAAAGCTATTTAGTGCAGTTTATTTATAGGCCTTCAAATCCATCTACCGAGTTTCAAATTTACCCCACTTCCTCCTCACCAGGGGCAACATTCTTATTTTCCACTTGTCAAGGGCAAAAATAATTGCTCTCATAGATCTCAGACCTAGATTTACTTATTCAAAATTGCAGTCCCCTCTATTAAAAAATTTGTGGAGAGTTCTCCAAAAGCTAAGCCAGACTTCTCTTGAGAAAGACCACCCAGTCATGCAGTCAAAGTATTCCTTCCTGACCATTAGCCAGGATACCTGAAACTGTCTCTCCCCAGCCCTAGGCTAGTCCCCCACCTCACCAGGCACTCTAGTAGGACTTGGGCCAGCTTCCAACTTCCTCTCCCCTTTCTAATTTAGACTGTTTATCTATCCAACCTCCCATTTTCACTTCCCTTTCCCCTAGTCCTGAGTCTATATTCCATGCAGGCTAGACTTACTTTAAGGTATATCTATGCAGTAAGAAAAAGGTGAGGCAGGTCCAGACTTAGATGGGAAGGCAGTCAGAGTTGGGACCATGAACTGAAGATCTATGAATTCTACCATTCCTGCATCTATAATAAGACCTCCTTCCAATATCCAGTCTAGTCTGGTATTTCTGTCTACTCACCCCCTGGGTCAGAGCATTAAAAGTAAAGCAACACAGCACAGTCAACTCCTTCCCAACCTCATACAAGATGGTAGAGAAGCAGCTATTGGTGAAAGACCCTCAAGAGGAAGATTCCTTTCATGGGTAGTAAACAACATCCCTCTTCAGGTGGAGATTCTGCCTACTCACCCATCCCTACCCCACCCCACCCTTACATGAAGCACATGGGCTCCATTTTGTGTAGAAATTGGTCTCTCATGAAAATAAGACTCCTGGTGATAGTCCTCTTATCTCAAAATCTCAGGGACACAAAGCCTTCTTTAGGATGTTGTTCAGAAAACCACCCTCAGGCCCAATTCTATAGCTACACAAGAAAAATGGTCAGATCAACAGCTTCATTTTCTACACATAGCTCTGGAAAACCCTTAACCATTTCCAGATGACACATTCATTCCTCAACAAAAGAAACATAACACCACTGAAGAGATTTAACAGACTGTATCTCTGAAGACAATTTTTAAAACATTTTGACCAATGATGATATCACTGGAACTAGAATGTGGTTATGCAAGGGGTCCACTTCAGAGTATCATTTACAGGGGTTATAGCTCAGTGGCAGAACATTTGACTACAGAGTAGCACTTACCTAGGTATAGGAGTTCTGGTTTCTTTGTTTAAAAGGGTTCATTTTACCACCTGTTGTTACACCTCCCATAAAACAGACTCCCATCAAATTCACAGAGCTCTTTATTGAATGAAGACTCAAAAACACAACCCTGACAAGTGATCATTAGGGATCTTTAATAATCAGGGCCTCTCTGAGTCTCCATAAATGTCCTTTTGGTATTTCAGGAGGAACCATTTCCACAAATCCTACACATTTAGAGTTAAGAGATATTTTTTGGGTACTAGGCATTAACCAAGAATTCTAAAATTCACATATGACCCAATTTCTATCTCAGGAGCTAATGTTTAAAGTTCTGGAAGCATCTGCTACCACAGCAGCAGCATGCTAGTGGAGAAAAAGCATATAAACCTGCATTACAATTCTGTCCCCACCATGTACTGTTTGACTTTCGAAAATTCATTTCTACAAGTCTCAGTCACCTCATCTATAAAATGGAAATAATAGTACCAACTTTTGCAAGATGGTTGTGAAGAATAATAGACACTAAAGAAGTAGAAGAAGAGGCTTTTTTAGATAGCCTGCCATGTGCTGGTCGCTGGTTTAGGAACTTTGCATGAATTTGAACATTCCAACCCAGTGTCTAGCACATAATATATAGTCAAAGTTGTTAGCTTTTTCTCCTTCTGAGAAGCAGCCTGACTGGTGGGTCTGGACCCTTTCCATACAAGAGTATACCCCATCATTTCTGACCCTCCTTCTTCCTGTTTGTGATTCCCATAAAGCCATCCTACCTTCTAGGGTATTTTTCAAAGGAAATATCTCTCAAAAATTATACATGTCCAGATCTGTGAATTAACCCTCACAAACAACGCATTCTTAGCTCCCCAGCAGCATCCACTGGCACTTTTTTCTGTTAACCTGTCTGTCTCCACTGTCCAGCCTACTCTCTGAAGGTACTCAGTGAATTATGCCTTTGTATTTCCTAGGGGCCATTTTACCCCTGAATCTTCCCTTAGCCCCAGGTGGGGAGCAGCACCCATTGTATGCCAATGGTAAGGACTTCTAACAGGACCATGACCTGCCCATGAAGGCAGAAAAGGGTCTCTTAAAGGGAGGAAAGTGAAGGAAGCCCTGTAGCCATAGTTTCAGGAATCAGTCATCTGGGGAAGGAAGAGTGTGTCTCTTGAGAAGTGAGTACTGGAGTTGGATTGTGAGAGGAAAGCAGGAAGGGAACTTAGACTAAGGTTTGGCAAACTATGGCCACGGGCCAAACCTGCCAACATGCATTTTTGTAAAGAAAGTTGTTTATGTTTTGTGTCTGGCTGGTTTCACACTACAGAACCTGGTGGTTGCAACAGAGACTATGGCCCACAAAGCCTAAAATATTTACTAGCTCTTTTACAGAAAAAGTCTGCCAACCTCTAGTTTAAACAGTATGGGGCTGGGGTAGCTGCTAGAATCTGCCACAAGAGCCAGGCCCCTTCTACCAAGATGGATATCCCAAATTAATGACCACCTCCCACTGCCATGACTGAGCCCCTGACTGGCTTCCCTCTGTAAGTAGCTCTGGGACATTTACTTATATCTTGAGGCGGGACAGTCAGGAAGGCCTTATTTCAGCCTCATTCCTTCTTTCAGTTCATTACCAGAATGGAAAAGATGAAAGTATCATTTACTCTATGGCATGTAAAACCTCAAAGAAGAATGAAGATGAGTGATTGTGGGCCAACATGAACTTGACATGTACTCACTGTGTGACTGGGCAAGTTATTTAACCTCACTGAACCTAATCCATAAAGTGGAGATAATACTTACTTTGCAAGGCTATTATAAATTAATAGGAATAGAACCTGAGTTCTAGAAACTAAAGATCACTGGTACGTAGGTAGTAAGTGTTCAGAAACAGAGAGATTTTTTATGTCTCACCTGTTCTGAGATTTTCATTCTTAGTCTGAAAATGGGTCTGAACCAGC